ATCCATCCATCCATCCATCCATCCATCCATCCATCCATCCATCCATCATCCATCCAGTATTTATGTATCTACTATCATCTATTTATCGTCTGTCTGTCTGTCTGTCTATCTATCTATCATCTATCATCTATCTATCTATCGTATCTATCTGTCCATCCATCCATCCAGTATTTGTGTATGTGTATATGGTATTATATAACCTTTCATGTATACATTTCTATGTCAACTGCATCTGTTTGCTATTAAAGGAAAGTATGCAAATTGTTGCAAATTAATAATGATAATAATAATAAGCTTAAGGAACTCCCAATTGCAAAACAAATGCTTTTGAAACAACATTGGTATTTCTGCCTATTTGTTAAGGCATTCAGGCTGGAAAACGCAGGCATCCTTACATGTCTCCAGGAAAAAGAAAGATTACTTGGGTTATTAATAAGATTCAAATGACTTGTTAGCATGGCTTATTTAAAAATGAGCGACACATGGTTTTACATTTTTAAAAGAGGGTTTTGGTTCTTGCAGTGAGCTACATTTCAGCAAAAAAAAACAAAAACCCACAGTTTTGCTGTAAGCAGGGCCTGTTTCATATTCTCAGTTAGGTTTGTTCTAAATCCTTTGTGCGAAAACAAAAGGTACATTAAAAATTACGAAGACCCAAATTGGGAACATTATCTTCCCTGTCCAAATCCGAAAGCGGCCTAGAATAAATAATTAAAAGGTAAGGAAATCATTTCCAAAATTACCAAATATAAATGATCGTGCCATGACTGCTATGGCGAACTTTGCAGCCAAGGAGGAGAAGGAGTGTGGTAATGCCTCAGATAAAAAATAAATAAAAGAGAAATTCTGCAAAATCTCAACCAGCCCATACTTGAGTAGTTGAAACCTGAAAATTGTCAAAAAGCTTTAAAATCAAGAGCAGCTGCTCCAAACAACTCAAAAAAAAAATTTGCTCGTTTCATTTCATCCTGCACGTGATGTCCCAGCTGAATTATTGCCCAGATAATAAATTTCTCACAAGAAATTGTGTCCTACTTTCACAACAAATTATTTCAGATATATTCCTGATATTTCGGATGCTCCAAATGGTCTTAATCCAGAACTTGGCACAGTTAATGGAGAAACGGGAGACATTGCTTAGAGGCTGGTCAAATCTTGGCAGAGCTGTTTGTGCCTTCCTGGGGGGGGGGAAAAACACTGTCATTTGGGTTCGCCAAGAAAGTGAAACAAAATCAGATGATAAAGTTCGTCCTTTGCCTTCGTTGTCAACACAACTTCTTCCTCCCCTTGGAGATGGAAGAGGCAAATGAAACAAACATCTGTGCGTGCAAAAGAATAGTTCGGCTCTGGAACAGCTGTGCTGAAAGAGCGCTTCCCGAGCTCGGCTCCCCTCGTGGGGCGTCCTCTCGATTGTCCTCAAGCTCCTTCAGGGAAGGGCGAAGGAACGGCTGGATGCCCTTTGGGGTCCTCACATGGTGTAGGCCACCCAATAGATGACGTTGACTGCAGCAAAGGCCGCTGGGAAAACCGCCCTGGCATAGATATCGATGGTGTCGGCATCGATGGGTTTGAAGAGAGACTTTAGGCCTCTTCTGGGCTTTGGTGCCCCCACTTTCTTGGTGTCCCCCGTTTCTACTTCAGCTGAGCCGTATGAGCCAGACAGGTGCCGGGGCCTTCGGCGGGGCCTGCTGGACGTGGCCAGCTCCTGGTTGACTCCAGCAATCGAAAGAGAAAACATAACAATCGCGTTTTTCACATTGACCTGAAAGGGGAAAGAGGGCAGGTAAAAATTGGGAAGATGGTCAACCGGAGGCCCAGCTTCCCCCCCCCCCCCCCCCC